GTGGAGACTTGATCATGTTTATCATCAAAATAGAGGCCCCTCTAAAGGACTGGGTATGAAAGGCAGACCAAAAGTTTCACTCAGTTGTAGGGATGGGAAAACATGCCACAGTACAGATCACAAAATAGCTGCATAATAAATACTGATCGGTTTATGAAGAAACATATTCTTAGAAGCCAGTTGAGCATCACTCTTGTGATGGTAACACTGACTTACATTCTCCTGGTTCTCACTGGCACAAGACAACTTTACAGACACATACATATTGCACAAAACTCTATGACAGGTTTCCACAGGGGATGTTTCTACCTCTGCTGTTCCCCACAGAAGGTTAGACAGAAGTTTCCTAAGTCGTTGTTCGTTGTGACCTAGTGTTTTTCCTCCTGTGAAGGTCCATGAGTCTATCTCTTCACTTCATTGGCAAACTCTAAGTGGCATCAGGTGGCCCTTGTCATGCATGAGAATCATTTAATACAGAAGCAACTGCTGCAGTGGTGACTCCTTCCTTTTGGCAGCAGTCTTTGAGCCTTTACAAAAGTCCTCAGGAACTCAAAACAGCAGATATCCTTTTTGAAAATGAATAAACCAGAATCAGCTTGCCCATCCTCAGAGGAAGTTGACTACGGTCATTATTCTTTTGAGAGGAGTTGTTAACTTTTCAGGGTAGCTTGATGTTCCCCTGCCAGTACAACTTCTCTTCCACTTTTTTCTTTTTCCATCTGCAGAGAAGCAGCATCTTAAAGGTCTTCCTGAAGGTTCTGTTGCAGAGGGCATAGCAGATGGGGTTAACAGTGCTATTGACATAGCACAACCAATAGCCCAAGTGCCATAGGGTGACTGGGACACACTTGTCACAGAAGGTGGAAACCAGGACCATGATATTATAAGGGGTCCATGTGATGATGAAGGCCAGGAGAACGGCACTCAAGGTCTGGGCTGCTTTCCTCTCTTTGACTAGGACCATTCTCTTTCGTTTCGTCATTTGATGGCTGAGGTTGGGATCGAGGCCTTTTGTTGAAGGGTCCTTAGACACTGGGAAGGAGCAGGGCATGATTTTCACCTTGTGACAGCCATTGTTTGTCTCCTGGGTCCTGTCTGCTTTTACCACCATTCGGAATTTATAGGCCACACATTTCTGACTCTTGGATCTATGAGCAGCAGCTGGAGGCAGAAAGTATTTTGGGGTGTCATAGTCATTTGTTTCAGTTTGAGCTTTCACAAAAGTTTCCTTGGTCTCTTCAGCACTGAATTCTTCCCTTGGGCTTTCCTTGGTCTGACTCTTGTAGACCACTTGGAAGACAGGGTCAGTGCTGGGCTTGTCCTCGTCCTCTGAGGAGGGGTAGCTGCTACAGGAAGTGAGTTGCTCAGATTTGGCCCAGTCGGCGCTTGGGCCAGGGTCTTGGGATGGCTTCCCAGTGGTGGAGGTGCTCCTGCGGGAGGATGACCAGGAGGCCTGGTTCCTTTCTCTCTGGGTCAGGGTGGGTCGAGGGCAGCGAAAGCAGGATCTAAACAGAGCACTGTGAGCAGGCTTTCTCTTCTCAGCTTCAGTAACAGAGTCAGAGCCTTGGAGGTCAGCCAGGTCCTTGGTTCGCTTCTCTGTTTCCCGGTAGATTCGGCAGTAGAGGATGGTCATAACAGAAACAGGGATGTAGAAGGCAGCAATGGCAGTGCCAAAAGTAATGGTGGGCTCAGAGAGGAACTGGATCTGGCACTCATCTGGTGGAACCGTTCGCTTCCCGACCAAGTATTGCCAGCAGAGGATTGCTGGGGCCCAGAGGATGAAGGAGATCAGCCAGGCCAAGCCAATCATGATGCCAGCCCTCTTTGGGGTTCGCTTGGCTCTATATGTGAGAGGTCTTGTGATGGAAAAGTAACGGTCAAAACTGATCACCAGAAGGTTCATGACAGAAGCATTGCTGGCCACGTAGTCCAGTGCAAGCCAGAGATCACAAGCCAGGCTCCCAAGAGCCCAGCGTCCCATGAGGATGTACGTAGTATAGAGGTTCATGGAGAAAATCCCAATGATGAGATCTGCACAGGCTAAGCTGAGCAGGTAATAGTTGTTAACTGTCTTGAGCTGACTGTTGACTTTGAAGGAGATCATGACCAAGACGTTGCCGACAGTGGTGATCAGGCTTACCACAGCAGTCACAGCTGCGATGGTGATGACCTCCCACAACCCATGGCGTTCCAAAGGCTGGTGATTTACTGGGGTGTCATTGACAGAGGTTGCATTGAAGTAAGATTCCCCTTCCATCCTGGTGCAGAAATTTACACTAGGACTAAGTCTTAGGTTCTAGACTGTTCTCTTTTCTATCACCTCTTCTTGGCCAGCATCTGGAAGAGAGGAAAACACATTAGCCCTACTCACCAGCTTGACTTTCTTTTCTACCCATTGTATATCATTTCTAACAGAATATTAAATGTGGCCGCATACAATCAGAGCAAGATGCTAAAATCTCTGTAAGGTTTTGATGACATTTTTTTTTTTTTTTTTTTGGCGGCTTTCCAATATGGGATCCAAACTTTTGACCTTGGTGTTAAAACATAATAACATTTTTATAATGGCATCATTCTTTTGCTTCTTTCTGTTGTCTTTCTTTTTTAATAACAAAGATATAGTAACACCTTTTGCTTTTTATAGTTACCAATGTCTGAGTGCCCTTTTTATGCATGAGGCTGCTGCCCTCTTGTGGCAGCTTTTTAAAAAGGGCTGGGAAGATAAAGAGGACAAAAAAAGAAAAAGAAAAAAAATTGTATTGTTGAGGAGCAGAAAAGAGAGGAAAGCAGGGACAT